ATCGTGGATCGCCTGAACGGCGTCCACGAGCGAGTGCACGGCCTTCCGGAGAAGCTTGTCGTTGCCCGCATAGGATCCCTTCTCCGTGGCATGCTCGAACAGATCGCCGCCTCGGCAGAACTCGAGGACGATGTAGCAGTAGTCGGCGTCGAAGACGAGGTCGGTAAACCCGACCACGCCCTTGGTGTCGCCGACGATGTGATGCAACTCGATCTCTCGTTTAATGACTTTACGATCGGCGTCGCTCCGGCCAGCTAGGTTCATGACCTTCACCGCGACAAAGATGCCGTCCGTGAGGTCGATCGCCTTGTAGACGACGCCATACGAGCCGGACCCGAGCTTTTGGATGAGCTCGTAACGGTCGTCGACGACGGTACCGGCGAGGTTGGGGATGGAGGCCGCAGCAGAGACCATGGTGGGTAAAGGGGATGTGGTGTGGTGATGGTGGTTATAGGAATGGCTGTGCTGCGGGGGAAGTACGTTCACCAGGAACGATGGGGAGGGATGGAGGACTTGAGCTCGAAAACGTCCTCCTTTTATACATTTCCCGAACCCCGGGTGCCTCACAAGGAATGTTGGACTTTGAAAAAATTGGCTCGAAGCCACGGATACAGAGTATGCCAACCGCAGGCAGAGCCAGAGAGCCGAGGGCACTACTGGCCTTCTGGGCGCAAGCGAAACGAGCCAGGTAACGCTTCCGATGTAGCACCCTTGTACCGCAGGCTGTATCACAACTGTGACCACTGCGACGAGTCTACGACGGCGGAGTATAGCAGGCTGTTGCACGATGTTGGTCTCGGAAGTCACAAACATCGGTTATTGTGAACGCGACCCGCTCTCGTCGCCAGTATGATGAATGAGAATGTCTCGACCCATTGGGCCCATTCTCTGAATAGTGTTGTTGACACGGCCAATCTGGCATGCTGCTCTATGAGGGCACAGGACAGATTGTGATGTCCTAATAGCGAGACCAAGAGATCTCCTCCCTGCTCGAACGAGGGAGTCCGGGACTTTTTGTGAGCGCTTTAGCCTGGACATCCCACTACCATACGGTAGAACATACGGACGCGATGAAACTCACGAAAGTCCAACGTCCGCTCCAGACACAGACGAAACAATCCAGTCAGGTAATGGTGGCATCCAGCGAAGCAGCCGGCTTCGAAACGGATGGTGCTTCAGCCAGCACTGGACGGCCCAGCAGCGACCCGTCAGACACTCTCATACTGGCCCGACAACCCGTCAGAGGCGGGCAGAAATTAGAATGGTCTGCGCACGAGATATGTATCAGATGGGACGTACGGGTGTCATATTGATTTCTGGAACACAGTCACGAGCACTCAGTTCTTGGACAGCGTCAGGCCGGCTAACGACAGATTGGATGGGTTTTGAATCCAGCGGGATAGGCCTAGGGCGGCTACCACCGCAGAGCCTAGCTACGCAAAGCTAAACTCGCCTAAGAAGTATCATACAGAACAGGGGCCATAGAAAAGCTGAGGAGGGGGGGCGCCCCGACATAGTGGAGAGTTTGGCTTGCGGGGTGGACGCAGAAGGTCGACATACAAGCGCCCATTCGGCACGCGCGTCACGCGTTACAACTACGCGTAAGTAAGGATGTGCGTCCTTCAAGTTGAAGGCACCTTCCCGTCGACGTCCATCAAGCTGGGCCCACCACGTCCGTTGACTGGCCCGCCCAAGAGAACGAGTCTGTAGTACTAGTGCGGTCCGGAGCAGGGACTGTCGCGGTCGTTATCAGACTTTTTTTGCAACCGGTTCAGAACTAGACCAAATCTCGGTGATCTCTGAACCAGTTGCTTCCCATTGCCATTGGAACTGACCTGGGAGCCTTGCAAATTGAGTTACCCTACCGATTTAGAACGGCCTGCGAAAACAGTCTATTGACTTCAAGACAACGCACTATTTCCCGCAAGTGATGAGAAGCGCAGGAGAAGCTGCCGTGCTGACAATGGTCCTCTTCCCGGATGCACACACGTAGCAGATTACCTCACGCATAAAGCACGCGGTTGGAAAGCAATTAATGCTCTGCCATGATCTGGATACAGGTCGCTTTTCGGCGCTTGCTGGTGTGATTCCCGATTTGTGTCCAAATTCATCGATGCATGTTCCTACGTCTGCAACCCCACAGTTTATTGTTGTGTCCAACTGTACGCTATACTACACCGATGACGAGTCCTCGCCGCCTTGAACGTGCAAGTTCACGGAAGTAATTGATTGCAGTGCTCGAGCTACGAGCCTGAGCGCACTAATATTATTGCGAACAGTAATCCGAGAATTAAATGGGAGCTAGCGATACAAGAAGACACCAGACTATATCGTGGCAGATTCGTGAAGGGGGATTTCGGCATACAACAAGATAATGAGAAGGCTACCACGACGAGGCATGAAATCCTTAGCCAACGAGAGGACCCTTAGCGCCGTCTCCGCGGCGAGAAGCAGTGATGGCCCGGAGGAAGACGACCACGAGGGCGAACGTGGAGATCACCCTGGTCAGTTGTTCAGCGTTGCTCCCGGCTCGAGAATCGTACGACTTTAACTTACCAAATGATCCACGCGAATGCTTCGAGTGCATTGAGCTGGCCACAGTAGACGAAGTGATGACTGTATACAAGTTCAGTATGCATAGCCAGAGCGCACGCGCTAAGACGCACCTGCAATCCAGTCTGCCTCCTAGTGCCGCAGTGAGCGCAGCGGCTCCGGACAGCCAGAACACCCACGTAACAAAGAGGCTGCAAAGGACATCAGCACTTATGATTCTGTAGTCATTGGGGGGGGGGGACTCACAAGATAAGATGGCTGAGGACGCTTGTGGCAATACCGAAGCCGGGCGCGCGAAGGAAGAGGGCGAGGTAGACGATGGAGAAGACGAGCGTCCAGACAGAGGCGAAGACCAAGAACGCGACGTCATTGCGCACGGATGTGGAGAGGAAGTCATGGCGCGAGTTATATCTGTGCGTAAGCCAGCCCGAGATCGCTAGCTGTAGGATCGCGTTGAATCAGAATCTCATCTTATGAAGTTGAGCAGATGATATTCACCTCGATAATGCTGAAGAAGATGAAGGTCCCGAAGAGGACTGTGCGGAGACGATCGTCAGCGCAAGGGAGATAAAACTCATGTAGTTACTTTATACACACCAGGGTGTCCGCGGCGAATGTGGGTATCCCAGTCTGGCATGGTGATAGATGATGGTAGGTCGTGAAGGTCGTGAACGCAGCGAGGCCGAGGGGCGGACTGGAGCAGGGGAGAGATATGGATGATCACAAGAGCGACAAAGAACGCGGCGGGGCTTGGATTACTTATGTATCTGGAGCTGCGGCGGGGGTGAGGCAAGCACGGAACGCGGCTGGGTCGCGAGCATGAGCCGCGTGACGTCATCCTCCCGTCCGTCAGCCTCCGCGCGCTTAAGTTTCCTGCCTCCGTCCCAACATGTCCATCCCCCCGGTCGACGCGCGATTCATCCTCCGTCTTTTGCCTCCGCTCCCGTGTACGTGCGATTACCACGAACAGTGTCCTGCAGCCAGCAGTAGTGTTCGCGTCTAACCGTCGTTCCACGCCCGTCTCCTAGCCCATATTCTACGTACGCACGGAGTATCAGTATACCGGCAAGCTTGGACGAGAGAATCTGACTCAGACATGCAAGTATACACACATGACTTGTGCTGAAAGTCTACAGCACTTAGGTTACATGTGTCAGATGTAGATCTCGCTTGCGCTCCTCGTCATAGCGTCACCACACGACAAATACTGCTCCCGTCCCCGCCCCTCCGAATCCCTTCTTCTCCTTCGGTCTTCGGCCTCGTCGAGTCCGAACGAGCTAATCGCAGAAGTGGTTGAACCAATTCAATATTGATCGCGCGCTTTCCTCCCGCGCCCACTCTACAATCCAGGCCGAAGTCGCATAAGCAGCCAGCAGTAAGCGTCATTCTTCAAACTGACACCACCAGCGATATGAGAGCTCACTCCCAGTGAGAACCTACATGGGTTCAGTTGTTTTACATCGGCGAAATTCGTGTAAGAGCGGTTGAGGTCGGGAAGCCTCGATTCAGATTGGGCGGACCATTTTAGGCGCTCAACCTGTGTCTCTAATTGACCTTACGGTGACTGGATCGGACGTGCATGTTCTTACGCTGGTGACGTCGACGTGTCTCTCAAGCTTGTCTCTAACATGTCTCCAAGACCTATGTGATACATTACCTTGTGCTAATGCACTAGCACGCGTGCCCTTTAGGCGAGCCACCCTCATGTCGTTGTTTGCCAAGCCCGCAGACTTTGACAATCCTCCAAACCAGATCTCGCTCCACTGTCCCCCCGTTATTGTTGTTGTGCTCACCACCCCCAATCATTCCACATTTCTTATTTGTCCCTGGACTCAAGGAGTAGAGCATGAGGGCAAGGGCGAGGAGCTCTGGACGCAACAGGGTGTTTGATGCAAGGAGGAGCCCTTCGGTACGCTTACCAACATCTGCACATTTGCATTGTCTTGTTCCCCCCTTTTCCTCATTTTAATCACTCCTTAAGTTCTCAGTGAGTGTTATCCCACTCCTGTTTCGCATTCTTCACCTTTTCTTGACATCGATCTCTCCCTCCTCGATGAGAATATGATGTCATGCACTTTAGGCGCCGATGTTTGAATTCGCTCGATGTACATTCCGTCTCTTAATCCACCACGTCTACCATCTCTATCCCCTCGTTCGCAAGCTGTCTCCCTCTATGTTGCTTCCGCAGGTACGTTTCCCTCGATACAGTCTCTCGACAAGCGTAGCAGACAACAGCGACAAAAACATGTGCGCCTCGCAAGACCTCGCAATGGCCTCCCCAGCTGATCTGCAAGGTGCCAAGCATGCACTACTCCCTCATTCACTCACTGACTTCCTTGAGTGCCTGATTCACATTTCTGTTGCAGGTGGATACATGCATGGAAATGGTACATGGAGACCAGGGGAACGCAGGAAACCTTCGAGGCCCACTGCGAGTTTGTGAGTCATGCCGAGCGCCAGGTGTGTTCGATCACATGTATTGACTTCCTTTACTCACCTTTTCGACAGATGCTCGGACGGGTCCCCTGCGTTGTAGACAGTATGTGTCTAGCACCGCTATTGAGTCCCATTGCCGAATAATACTGATCTGTTCGCATTTTGAATCCTGACAGTGTCGACGACGGGCCCGTTCAAGTGGTTGTTAGGAGGCTTAGACATCACACTCATCTGTTGATCTCCCTTGCGGGTGAGGTTGACGCCGCTGCATGCACGCCCCATTGGCACCACGGGCTGGTCCTGACGTGATCCAACGGCATCTAGTCTTCTCCCCCTGTATTCAATGATACCTGAATGTAGCTGTATTCCACCGTGTAGCTTTACAACGACATACAATAGAATACGATCATGCGAAAATGTTCTGATACAAAGGGTCTCGACAGTAACCACGCCTAACCCAATGAAAACGGCCGCACCCGACCCGGCCCAACGGCGTTTGGTTGGTATCGGACGACCACCCGAGTTCATACAATGACATACAGCCAAAGTCGGGTGTACTGCCAAATTATGGGTTTGGTCGGGTTTTCCGACGTCATACATTACAAATCGACCTTATACAGCTGAGCCCATGTAAGTTCTCACTGGGGCTCACTTTGCACGGGGATGCTAGGGTCCGCGCGCAGCGCGAAACCGTGCTGGACGGAGCCAAACACCTGGATAAAGTACGTCGCCTTGTTCTCGACGAGGATGTCCTCTGCCTTGCGCCGCGCGTCGAGCGGGAACGTGTGGTCGATCTCTGTCATCGGCATCGCGTCTCCGAGTCAGACTCTGCCTTGGCTGCTGCGCTCATCCAGCATATATCCCGTACCTGCGCACGACAAGAGCAAGGGCTCTGCGCGAGGCGCGTCAGCGTTCATGCGTGGTCGCGCGCAACACCATGCACCAGAGGGCGTCACGCTCACTTTTGACGTTCCGGATGTGGTCTTCGTTCAGGAAGGCTGGGTGGCCGAAGGCACCTAGATGTTACGCGGCTCAGCTTCGGTGAGCTCTCCTTGACGTCCCGCTTGGTCATATCTTACCTGCGACTATCCAGTCCTTCGTGAGGTACTCGCACACGTACGGCGCCCCGAAGCAGTATCCTGCCACGCTCCGTTGACCACCCGCGATCCCGACCAAGACCAAGAGGAAAGAGCACGCTTACCCACGCAGACATATTTCGTGTCAGGGCCGCCAAAGTCTCTCCGGATAGCCTCGACCCACGGGCCGACGAGCTGGGGCGCACGGGCTTTCTTGCCGGCTATCCACTCCTTGTAGTCGAACCCGGGCGCCTCCCTATCTGGGTGCTTCGTCATCGAGTCGTCCTCGAAGTAGTCCAGGCCGACGACGAGGTACCCTGGCGCACCCCCGACCAGTGAGCCGTCGTCCCGGCATTCGATGTGCGTGCATGCTCACCGTTGTCCGCCCAGTAGTCCATGATCAGCTGCGAGTTGATGTAGATGGGCCCGAAGACGTCGGCGAAGAAGAGGACGATCTTCGTGTTGCTGCCGTCCTTGGGGCGGGAGAGTACGTTTCGACGCCTGCGACGATCTCGATCGTCCCGCGTTTCTCGCCGACGTGCTGGACGGTGCGGAAGCAGCAGTCTCCTGGGGCTCCTGCGAGGACGTGCGACATACTGGTGGTGGGTGAGCCTGTGGTGTCTGTATATGCGCAGACGATGTGGCGAGCCCGGCGGGCAAGGTGCGTGCCATTGTGTGTTATAAGGAGTGCGGCTCTCCTGGACTCAGGGATTTTCTTCTTTTCTTAGTGACTTAGCTGAGAGCAGAAGCTGCATGCTGACTGAGCTCGTCTCGTGGGCGACTTGGTCGCCTTCCTGATAGGGACAGCGCGAGTGTTGGGCTCCCGTGGTTTCTCTGTCGCGACAGGAGAAGCCTTACTCCTTGGTCGTAAGTGGTCTGTTATTTTTATCAAATAACGAAGGATGAGAAGAGGGACCTGAGCCCAATCACATGGCGCGACGCTCTCATCCCTCGAAAACAAGCGTGAGATAACGGTCTGGGAACTTTTTGAGCACCCTGTACAGGGCCATCAGCTTCCACTTCAAGGCGCTCCCGCTCCATCCTCTACTATTGTCTTTCCTCCGCCTTGGTCGTCTAGTCGCAGAAGTGGTTGAACCAGTTCAGAATCGACCGCGCGCTCTCCTCTCGCGCCCACTCTGCGACCCGGCCGGCGGTAAGCGCAATGTCCGCAAAAGCACCGAAGTCAATAGCTCACTCTGGACGGGGATGCTCGGGTCGGCGCGCAGCGCGAACCCGTGCTGGACGGAGCCGAAGACCTGGATAAAGTACGTTGCTTTGTTCTCGACGAGGATGTCCTCTGCCTTGCGCCGCGCGTCGAGCGGGAACGTGTGGTCGATCTCTGTCAGGGCAATCGTTTGTCAGGATCAGTCTTCGGTCGAGACACTGAATACCATGAGTTCGTCGTACCAGCACAGGACAAGAGCAGGGGCTCTGGTGGGAGAGTGAGCGATAGTGCGACGTGCGGCGGAGGACGGCACACTTACTCTTAACGTTTCGGATGTGGTCTTCGTTTAGGAAGGCCGGGTGGCCAAAGGCGCCTTCGGTGCGTTTGCACGTGGCTTCGGTGAGTGAAGATGGATCGATTCGGTGGGATGTACTCACCGGCAAGTAGCCAATCCTTTGCGAGGAACTCGCAGACGTACGGTGCACCGAAGCAGTATCCTGCCGTGCGCTCTCACCTCCACCACTTCATAGGAATACCAGCGAACATGCTCACCTACACACACGTACTTGCTGTCGGGGCTCCCTTGTTACGTGGATTCGATCACTCGCAGCTCTGTAGGCCAGCAGTGCGGTCTGTTCGCTCACCGTAGTCCTTGCGGATAGCTTCGACCCAGGGCCCGATCAGCTCGGGCGCGCGAGCTTGCTTTCGCTTCAGCCACCCCTGGAAGTCGAACCCAGGAGCCTCCCTATCGGGATGCTTCGTCATGGAGTCGTCCTCGAAATAGTCCAACCCCACGACAAGGTACCCTACCGCACAGGACTAGTGAGTGATCATCTCGTCGTCACCGATGTCTGAGCGTCTACTGACCGTTGTCGGCCCAGTAGTCCATGATAAGCTGCGAGTTGATGTAGATCGGCCCGTAGACGTCGGCGAAGAAGAGGACGATTTTCTTGTTGCTGCCGTCCTTGGGGCGGGAGACGTACGTCTCGACGCCCGCTACGGTCTCGATCGTCCCGCGTTTCTCGCCGACGTGTTGAACGGTGCGGAGACAGCAGGCTCCTGGAGCGCCTGCGAGGACGTGCGACATGTTGGCTATTGCGACTGGGGCTTTGTGTAGGGGAGCGAGGGAATTGTGGAGTCCAGATATCCCAGGGAGCGAGGTTTGTCCTACGTCGTGTTATATGGACTTGCGGGACTCCTGGACTTCTGATTTCCTTGCTTTACTTAGGTGAGAGTGGAAGCCGTTTCGCCAGACGTCTCGTGGACATCTTGGTACACGGCGGGGCGACGCTGACAAGTAAGGTGCGAATTGAAGGGAGGCGGCACCAGTCTACGTAGGACGGCCTGAGTATTTTGGTATCAGCGTATGTCTGCGGCAGTGGAAGGAGATTCACTATCGAGCATGTTTTTCCGAGGGCTCCCAGCCACGGAGCTCCAGGTGCAGCTGCTCTCCTTCCATCGAGCTCGACAGGATGGAAGGGCGGTCCTGGGTGCAATCCGATGACGCAACCGTGTCAACTGGCGAGTTGTGCGTGAGACACTGGTCTGAAAATACCTTCGGCAGAAGGCATGAATGACAGGCATTCAGGAAACGTGCGAGCATACTGCACTCCACGCCAATCGAGTACCTTGTATGGGGCATTAACCGGCAGATATGCCGAGCCACTTCTCTCTCGGATCGTGACACGACAAGTACTAGCGCATTTCGAAGTCTGTAAGTAGCGTGTAATCGTGACATAACCATCAGCAGAAAACCCATGCGAACGTCAGTCTTGGACGCAGCGCTGTCCTGGAAACCCAACCAACTGCGGCAAGCGGGTCAACCCGGGTGATACACGATCACGTGCCCACGTCCGGCGCACGGAGAGGCCGCCATCGAACGTTTTGAGACGTGCTATATGAGCCCTGTGCTCCAGCTACCGTCGCCGCCGCTCATCCCCGCTGGCATCGTTCCCGCCGCCCTACCGCAGGCCTTGCTGCCCCCCATTTCCCCTTCTTTCTCCTTTTTCCTCTCTTCCTCTTCTTCCGCCATGGCTCGCATCGAGTGCCCCGCTTCCCTCGTCCTCCACACGCCGGCGTGCGACGACAGGACTCCCGCGGACGATGACGTGCCAGATGTCTCCACCCTCGACGCCTTCGAGGCGGTCTACATCCCATGCGGAGACGGCGCGCGATACTCGGTGGAGGCTTCCCAGCTCCTGCATGAAGGCAGCACCCGCGTGTACAGGGGCACGCTGACCGTCGACGGGCGCCGTCCTACCCACTCGGAGGTGGTCTGCAAGCTCGGGCGGCGCCAGGCGCTGCACAGGGAGGCGGACCTGTATAGAGGCAGGCTGGCGTCCCTGCAGGGGCGCTATGTGCCGACATTCGTAGGGCTGTTCGATGGAGCGGGGGTGGGTGAGGATGGGATGAGCTGCTTGGTGCTGACGTACGAGGGCGAGCGCATGCGGGAGTCGCTGTACACGTCGGGCATCGACTTCAGGTGCGTCTCCCGGTCCGCCGTACGGTATCTTGAGCATTCCGATGCGAGCGGAGCCGTCGCTCCTTCTTCAGGAAAAAGGTCGTCAGTGCGCTTCTCGCGGTGCACGAGGCCGGCGTGTGCCACGGGGCCTTCAACGAGGCCAGCATCGTCGTCCGGGACGGCGACAACGCGCCCCTCCTGGTTGGGTTTGGCGGCGCGAGCGACCACGAGTGCCATCGCGGCACGCCCATCGAGTTCTACGCGCCCCAGCCGCACAGCGAGGTGGTTGGGTGCGAGGAGGTTTACTGGGCGTGCGTCGTCGCTGCCGTCTGGCTACCCGGTGTGTGACCTCTTTCTTACTCTCTCGTTGTGAACTTCATGGATACTCCGTGTAGCTACGGTGGAGTTCTTGAACTCCGCCGTCCCGATAGAGTGGGCACTGGGCGGCTTTGACGCGCTCGTCGCCAGAGCCCCGAAGGGCACGGACCCGGACCTAGCAAGGATGCATGCGGAGCTCACGAGGGAAGACCTGCTCGAGTGGATCGAGGAGCGCGAGTTGTACGACGGGCAGCCGCTCCCTGTCAAGATCATGGATTAAGCTCACAACACCTCAGTCCACGGACTCTTCGTCGCGCCACTTACTTCTCGCCGTCGTGGACATTCTGTCTCGTTATCTCTCGCTCTCATCCTCTCTTGTAAATTGCTACTTTACACTCGCTGTCCTGCTGCCGCTTCTGCCACCCCGGATTCCACGCATGATGGACTATCCGCATCACCGCTCGCTCCTTACCATCGCTCTCGGTCTCCCTCATCTCCCGGATGTTCCGGACTCCGTATCGCTGCCCTGTATTGGCACACACGGAAAAGTATCGTACAGTGTAGTATATGTGACACACCTGGCTAGGTGTGTAGCATCGCCCCACTCATACATGTAGAGGACCCTTGTTGTACTCGTGTACTAGGACTCCTTATAATGCATACACGCTATGATGCGTGGGTGTCCACCGCTTTCTTTCCCCGTCCGCTATGGCCATCCTTTCGCCTCAACAGTTGTCCAGCGTCGAATGACTACGTAAACGATAGCGGCTTGGCATCGGTACCTGAGGGATCCTCGTCCACATCTTCGATCAATGACGCTAGACCGTCATGGCTTCAGCTTCTTTCATAGATGAGCACCTACTTACTAGTCGCGTCGCATTCGTTGTCCAGAAGGGCCTGGTCTGCGCCAATGTATAATCGAGTCCTTGAGGGGCTTTGATAGCGTTCGGGTGCCTTCAAACGAGCTCGGGTGCGTTGTGCTTGTGCGCTGCAGGCGTCGCGTACGCTGTGCACATCTTGCAGATACAATCGCCAGTGTTGCTAGCTGTTCTCGCTTCGAAATCGTTAAGACGGGCGTTGCTCCGGCTTGGAGCTTCCTCTTCTATGCTGGGGTGTGCGCGCGGACATGTCCTGCAGCGTGTGTCTGGCTAGCGTAGTGTTTCTGTCATATGGGCGCGCCGCGCCCACTTCCGCTATATACCACAGCATGTTACCCTCTGCTACGCGAAGCGCATGCCTCCCTGAGTATTGGAAACCGGAGCGCGAAGCATGGCAGTTTCGCGTAACAGGAACGGTCGCGCGCTCGCGCAGGGCAACGAGAATCCGCGCGTCGCGCCGGAGTTTGTGGGCCGGGCGCAGTACTGGGGGACAGAACAAGGCCCCGATATTTTGATGCCTCGAGGACATCAGAGCCGCATAAGTTGCTGCTCTCCGCCGTCGTCCTTCGACGACCGCGCTACCTCGCTCTTCCACTCTTCACGCTCAGGGCACGCGCTGCCCCGCACTGTGACTTTCTCTCCGTGCCCGCTTCCTCCGGATAGATCACCTCGGCTACCCCAGGCTCCTGAAACACTGCTCGCCCGACACTTCCATTCGCGATTCATTGCATCCAGCTGTGACATAGCATAGCTCGTGGGAAGGCGCACTTTGGTCATACGAAACACCTTGCGGCGGTTGCTGTAGGATTTGCAAAGGTTAGAGACGGACGGAGGACGGTTGCGTTCATATCAGCACGGTGAGGTTCGGATATTATGGCCCCGAGCTTCTTGTCGAAGCTGGTGAGACCGTCTGGGTCGCACTCGCGGAACTCGAGCAAGGAATCTTCGCCGCAATCTCCCACTCCGAGTCGCAACCCGTCGATCAGCATCAGCTCGACGACGTCGTCGAAAAGCGCAGAAAGGCGGCGGCGGCAGGGGAATGGCAACGGGAGCGCAGCTCGCCCGCAGGCGGTAACAGGATATGAGAGCTCTGATTCTGGGCCGAACGTGACGGTCGTGCCCCCTTCACCGAGCATTAGCGGCTCGAGCCTTGGGCTGCCGCTGCCAGACCTGCAAGCGTCCCCTGCCCGGGCCTCGCGCGAGCTCGCCCCTGAGGACAACGCGGAAAGCGCGCGTAGGCGCATCCAATCGCTGCCTGCGACTGCCGTTGCCGCCCCGCCCAAAAGCATGCGAGCGCTCCCGACCTCTGACGACGACGGCCTCCCGACGCCCACCCCGGCCACCACCACCTTCGTTCCCGCCGACATGCCCTCCGCTCCTTCCTCCAAGTCCCTCTCTTCCTCCCGCTCCTCCGAAAACGTCCGCGACAGAGCCCGCGCCAGCTCGAGCTCCACGGGCAAGCGCACCAACGAGAACCACCCCCGCGCCGCGACCGTCGCCGTCTCCGAGGACGGCCGGCTCCAGCCCACCAAGCAGCTCCGGCATGAGTCGTCCAGCAAGTCCCTCCGTAGCAAACTCAGCATCATGCTCCCCTCGCGCGACACCAGCCAGCAGTCCGCTGCCTCGTCCCAGGGCCAGTCTGCGCGTCATGAACGCTCCATCTCTGCCCCGTATCCGCCCTCCCCCCCGGCCCACTCCGGCGACGGAGCCCTCGTAGAGTCCCCCACCGGCATCCGCACCTCCCAGGACATCCCGACGATATCCCTCCTCCCCACCAGCCAGACCACGCCCTCCTTTGGCTCGACCCTGCACGTGCCCAAGGACAACTCGGACGCAGCCTCCATCCGCTCGACGGGCAGCACCAAGAGCAAGCGACGGCCCTGGCGCCGCGCGTCCAACGCCAGCGCCGGCACCACAGCTGCGAGCCCGAGCTCGTCCTTCATCCCCGGAGCCTCGCGCTCGGCCACGTTGGCCTCCACCCCCTCTGCGGGCTCCAATCACGGACGGAGCCCCCACGCAAGAACACCGCCGCAGGCGGCCTTGCGTCTGCCCTTGCGGCTTCGGGGCTCGCGATAGCGAACCCTGGCATGTCCATCCCTCCCATCTCCCCCGCCCCCGCCGAGACGTCGTCTGCTGCCGCCCGCGGGCGCACGTCGTACGAGGGCGTCAGTGCGAGCACCAGCGGCGGGGGCCCGCTGACGCCTCGCTCGGCGCGCTCGCGGCAGGCGTCGCTGAACGTCGCCCCGAGCGACTATTCGGACCGGGACTCGTTCCGCTCGCACGCGTCGGACAGCGACCCGTCGGACGAGAGCGACGAGCTCGACTTGGACCCGGAGGACATCCCGGTGACGGGCTTCGCGGTCGCGAGCAACAAGCGCAACCAGGACTTCCACGAGCTGTTCCCCACCGTGCCCGAGGGCGACTACTTGATCGAAGGTGAGTGGGCCTGTCTTGCTCTCGTCTCCTCAGGCTGCTACGTCATGCCGCATACCCGGTGCGAGGCGTCTGTTTCTGCGTTCTGCGTCTGCGTTCTGCGCTTGCGCCGTCCGTCTCCCCATCGTCCCTCGTCCTCGTCCGCGTCGCTGTCGCCATCGTGGTCGCCGTCCATCCATGCCATACTGTGCGTCCGTTTCTGACACGCATTTCACAGACTATGGCTGTGCGCTCCAGCGCGAGATTCTCATCCAGGGCCGGCTGTATATCTCGGAGAACCACCTGTGCTTCCACGCGAACATCTTCGGCTGGATCACAGATGTAAGTAGCATCTTTATCTCTCTCGCGGCCACCGTCCCAGGCGTAGCTCGGATGCTGATGATATCGCTTCCCTTCCCGTTGCTGCTCCATTCGTCCCCCGCGCTTGCCCCTTTGAACCGGTTTGGCTTGGTCTGGTCTGGTTCGGTTGGTTCGGTTCACGCCTTGCCGGTGCGCAGCTTTCGATCCCGATGTACGAGGTGATCTCGCTGGAGAAGCGGATGACGGCGTTCGTGATCCCGAACGCGATCCAGCTCTCGACGCGCACCGCAAAGTACACGTTCACCTCCTTCCTCTCCCGCGACACCACCTTCGACGTCCTCTTCAACGTCTGGCGCCTCGCCCGCCCCGAGGACTCTTCCGAAATGGGCATCGGCTCGCAGCGCGTCTCGCTCGACGAGGGCGAGGACGGCGCGGTTGTTGTCACCGCCGACGGCGCTGTGGGCGTCAACGGTGCCGGCGCTGTCGCTTCAAAGAAGGCGTCGAGGGCGGCGAAGGTGACGCGGTGCGACTGCGCGAAGACGGGGCAGCAGCACTATACGGAGACGGCGATGGACGCGGTGTTCCCCGGCACGCCGGACAAGATATACAACCTGATGTTCACGAGCGGGTTCATGAAGGACTTCATGCGGGAGAACCAGAAGCTCTTAGGTGTGTCCCTTCCGCCTTTGCACATCAGCTGTGAGAGCGGGGCATCCGAACCGTGCTCGCAGACATCCAGATATCGGACTGGACCCCGACGGAGAACCCGCAGCTGCTGGCGCGCAACATGACGTACATCAAGCCGCTGAACGCGAGCATCGGGCCCAAGCAGACGCGCTGCGAGCTCCGCGACGAGACGATCGCGATCAACTTCGACAGCTTCGTCACGATGCTCACGACGACGCGCACGCCCGAGGTGCCCAGCGGGAACGTGTTCTCGGTCAAGACGAAGACGTGCATCACGTGGGCGAGCGACGTGGCCAGCAGGGTGCTCGTCACGACGCAGGTCGAGTGGACCGGGCGCAGCTTCATCAAGGGTGAGTCCCCGTTGCTCGTTGCGTTCACACCGTGGCGGCTACGCCGGGCTGCTGGGTGGTGTCGTCCGAGGTCTGACTATATGCTGACGGGCGCACCGCGCAGGCATCATCGAGAGATCGTGCATCGACGGCCAGAAGACGTACCACGTCGACCTCGAGAAGGCGATGCGCGACTACATCCACGAGCACCGCGCCGAGTTCGTCCCCGAGGGCGTCGACGTCGCCGCGGTCGAGGAGTCCGTCGCCGCAGTCGTCGCGCTCGAGCCCCCGCCCGGGACGCCGACGCGCGCGCAGAGCGACGAGGAGGTGCGCAAGGAGCGCGAGCGCGAGCGCAACCGGCGCGGGCTGCAGTGGGCGTACGACACGTTCGAGGGCGCGCTCAAGGTCGCGCGGCAGTCGACCGAGGGCGCGCTCGAGCTCGTGAGCGACGCGTGGGACCAGTCGTCGTCGACGACGATCCTCTACTTCGTCATCGTCTTCCTCGTCCTCTCCAACCTCTGGACGCTCTCCGTCATGGGCGGCCGCGAGGAGGTAGGCCGCCGGAAGGAGACGCGCAAGATGGAGGAGCGCGAGAAGTGGGTGCAGGGCATCGTCACCGCGCTCTGGGAGGAGCTGCTCGCGAACCGCGGCCAGCTGGGCGGCATCGCCGCCGGCGCAGTCCCGCCCCTCGCCCCTCGGCCCCCGCATGGGGACCTGCGCGAGGAGGTCGGGGCGCTCGCCACCCAGCTTGACCTCATCGAGCAGCGTATATCGGACATCCGCGAAAACCTGAAGCAGCTCGACCAGCTCGACTGATCCGTCAGTTGGCTATGTGTAGATAGCTACGTTTTGTCTTCTTGGCGGACTCTTTCCCGACTGTCGTCTCTCCCTCACCAAATTGCTTTCCACTTTCGGTTATCATCTCGCGTCGGCGAGTGTATAATATGTGTACCGCGGAGCGAATTCACGGTTTCGATCTAGACATACCCCTCGATTACAAGCTTGTTTTGCGATGCGATGCGATATCCCGGCGGGGCGGCTTTGTGTGGAATAGTGGGGCAGGATGCACTGAATGAGCGACGTTCTATGTAACATGACAAGGGAAAACAATTTGCTTGACTATACTACTTACTAAAACACGGATTGCGGGAGGAGCACGAAGCAGAGAGGACCATGAATCGACTGAACGAGCGTGACTGTATACTTGGGGGACGGAAGCCAGCAGACGAACTAATAGCAGACGCAAGGAATGCGTGGCTGAAGGGGAAAGGGAGAGGACGAACGGTCCAAGCGAGTGTGTGTACTACTTACGAGCGGCCAATAATAGCTATAGATGAGGTGCATATGGATATAATACGCGATCGCGAAGCGTCTGAGAAAGCAGAGCATGCCGAGAGTGGCGAGAGCGGGACTTGTGCGAAGCAACCAACCAAGGAGGGCCTCGAGCGACTTGTTTATTACATGTCCATCCTGAACCTGATCCGTAGCCCCATAGCCGGGACTACCGCGGCGACTGGAAGATGGAGAGCACCTTCTCCGCGCCCTCTTTGTACTTCTTCAGCACCTTGTTCTTTTGCTGCTTCTCCTCGTCCCCGTTCGCGTGGTGGACCGGCGAGCCCTTGATCGTGTCAACGGCCGGGTCGCCATTGAGCGACTGCTCTGTCTCCGACTCGCTGGGAGCGCCCATGGAGATGGCGGATTCCTTTGACTTCAGCGAGGGCGTCATGGCGGTCTGCGATGGTGATGGGGTGAGCAGTCCCGCGCTGGACACAGTCGAGGCGTTGGAGAACGTCGCTGACGTCGACGCCGTTAACGACTTCGCGGATCGCGACGACGGCGGCGGGCTCTTCTGCCTAAGGAACTGCCTGGGGTGTTTGCGGAACGTGAGACCTGGTGTCCGCCCACGACGGTGCTTGTCCGAAGGCGTCGGCGACGCAGTAGGGTCCGAGCCGTTGAGGTCCGACTCCATCGACATCCCAGAGAACGAGCGCGGGCCGCCCGACCTCCTGGGGGTGCTCTTGCGGAAGACAGCCAGCTTGTACCGGTCGACGACGCCGCGGGCAAACAGGCTTGTGCCCTTGGCACCGTTGCGCTCCTCGACGAGCAGACCGCCAGCCTCGACGAAGTCCCAGTCGTCCTCGTCTTCGTGGTCCGCAGCGCCTTCGTCTTCCGTCGCTGTGTCGGGCAAGTCCTTGTCCAAGGCTGGGATGCCGGACTTCTCCCTGCGATTGCGCACCAGCTTCGCCTGCCGCGACTTGGGCGCAGTCTTGACGTTCTCGTCCTCGGCGGTGCGCTTGGCAGCGGCAGCGGCAGCAGCCTCGGCAGCGGACACGGCAGGCGGAGGCACAGCGACCTGCTCTTCATGACTTGATCGCGGAGTAGCCTCCGCCTTCTGTTCCGGAGCTGGTGGTGCAGCGGGTGCAGCGGGCTCTGCAGGAAGAGCACTGGGACGTGCCTCCGGCGTCTTCGGCTCGCCAACGTCCTCTGGCACCGATACTTCCTCGACCTCCTCCTTGGGCGCCGTCTCCGCGGCGACCTCGTCGGGCAGGATGTCGTCGAGACTTGGACCGCTAACCGACTCCTCGTCTTCCTCATCCTCTTCATCCTCGCCATCCCCGTCCTCATCCTCATCGTCCAGAATCACTGAATGCCTGCCCTTGAACGAGTAACCATCGAAGACGTCAACGGAGTCGTCCTCGACTGGGTGCACGGACGGACTGCGCGACTGCGACGGCGTAGTAGCAGAGTCTTCGCCGTCGGTGCGGTCCGCATCGGTCTCCGTGCCCTCATCGTTCTCGTCGTTGATTACGGGCTCCATGCCCAAGAAGGTATCGTCGAAATTCTGGGTATCAGAGGCATTCGAAGGATCGATGGGAGGAATATACGGGGCTGCAAGTTTGCCTTTAGCATCCAGTCACCACCCATCAATCAGGAATGGACCCACGTATGTAACGTTTATAATACACGTGGGACCAGTCTCTGCGAGGAGTGTATGCAGCGTGAGAATCGCGGGAGGGGGACACACAAGGAAGAAGGTGCATACATCATTGAGAAATAGGGATGCTTCTTGATCCGCGGCTCCTTCATCCTGAGTGCAGGGTTCCGTTGAAGCAGCTGGTATAGAGTTGGATAAGTGAGAACCGTCGCGGACGTTAAACCGAGGAACATGAGCGACTTACACCACGAATCAAGCTCTTCGTGTCCTGGTCCATCGTCCTGTCCTCAGGGAACTGCAGCTCGTCCTGCAGGACCCTATAGTACATATCTGAGTGGTTTTCGGCCCAGAAGGGCGTCTGTTCATCCGTCTCAGTCATTGGCCCTCGCAGACGGATGAACCGCGCTACTTACGATACCAGTGAGCATCTCGTACAGCATCGTACCGAAGCTCCACCAGTCAACCTCGTAGCTGTACGGCAGCCCTTGGATGACCTCGGGCGCGAGGTACTCCGCCGTGCCGCAGAAGGTGCTCGTCGTGTCGTTCGAGCCCGCCGTCCACTTGTCACTGCTCGCGTCGCCCTTCATCCAATGAGGGGATGCAGGCGACCCCGGGGAACCGTCCAAGAAGTCGCCCCTGGACCCTGACGGCGTGGGGGGCGCGGTGATGGCGGCGGTCCGCCGTGGGAACTCCTTCGACAGGCCGAAGTCGGTCAGGACGATGTGCCCGTCCGCGCCGATGAGGATGTTCTCTGGCTTGAGGTCGCGATAAATGACGCCAGCGGCGTGGAGGCCCTCGACGCCCTCGACGATCTCGGCGGCGTAGAACCGGGCCCGATCGCGGCCGAGCCGGCCCCAGCGCGCAAGTTGTGTGGCGAGATCACCGCCAGGATGGAAGTCCTTTAAAAACATCAGACAACTTTGAGTTCGTTCACTTGCCACGAAAGATTGAACTGAAACGCATACCATGACGAGGAACAGGTTCTCCCTGTCGTGGAAGCTCCACCAGAGCTTCACTACGAAGGGATCCGTGTTCTCCGCTGCCATCCGCTTGAGGACAGCCTGCTCGGTGAGCGTGTGTTGGAGCTCCTGGTGCGCCAGCACATGCCGCTTCGTGATCGCCTTGAGCGCGTACACGTCCTGCGACGGCTTGTGGCGCACGAGCAGCACCTTGCCCGCGCAGCCCTTGCCGAGCACGCGCATCATCTCGAAGTCGTCGATGACCACCTTACGTTGCGATTTCTTCTCGCTGTTGGGGTCCTTGGACTTGGCGCGTTTCTTGCGCGCCGAGCGCCGCTCGGTCGTCGAGATGGACGAGTCGTCGCCCGTTTGCGACGCCGTTGAGGGTGTCGTAGAGTACAGGCGGGACGAGCGCGTCGACGGGTCTGCAGATTGCGAGCGCACTTTGCGCGCAGGGGTCTCCGTCTGCACGGGGGTACGGGGAGCCTTGTCGTCCTCGTCGTCTGCGACGCCGTTCACAGAAGCCACAGCGGCGGAAGGAATTTTGGGCGACATCGGTGTTGGGGCGCGGTCCTCGGCGCCCTCCGCGGTCTCCTCGTCACCGCCCTCCGCACCCTCCGCGTCTCCGTCCCCGTTCTCCTTCACCTCCTTCTCCCCATCCACCTTTTCACCCTCGGTCTGCTTCTCGAACATCGACGACGCCTTGGACGAATCGCCATCGAGCACAACCTGACTGATCGACCGCTGAATCTCGTTCGAGCTCCCGGGGCTCACATGCGCCGCAAGGTCGCTCCGTACGCGCTTGATCGCACGCTCGACGCGCACGCTCTGGAGGTCGTCGGTGCGCACCCTGACGAACCGCTTCCACGCCCGCGCCTGTCGCAGCGTGGGGTCGTTGGCGAGCGACGTCAGGTACGCCGCAAGCGCGGTTATGACCTTGTTGTTCGACGCGGCGAGCGCGGAGATGTCCTCGCCGTTCTCGCCTATCTCCGCGAACGGGTCACTGATCTCGGTGGTGGGGGTGACGAGCGGCGTTTGTGCGCTCGACGTCGTGCTGCTCGAGACGCCGCTGCTCGAGACGCTGCCGTTGCTCGGGAGTTGGTTGTTGTGGTTGTTGTTGCTGTCCTTCTTGCCGGACACCTGGCGTCCGTTGGCGGATCTGTTGCCGGAGGGCGAGGCGAGGCGGGAGAGCGTGTTGAGGAAGACGGACTTGCGTTTGGGAGGCGTCGGCAGCGCGGCCGCGTCTATGGGGGGGTTGGGCATCTTCAGACCCGGGAAACTGTCGCGGAGCTTGACGTGCAACTCGACAATTTCTTGAGCCGACCGGGTGAGCGTGATATTATGGGTGGGAGCTGCCGGCGGGAAGCGTTGGTTTCAGTTCCAGTGTCAGCAAAGGTTTAGCTCGTCGGTTGACGTAATCAGGGATGGAGAAGACGGCAGTCGGGCAGCAAGGCACGGGGAACGGAGGAGCAGCAAACGGGGAGGAGAAGCAGAGAGGGCAAGCCAAGCGACATGTAATAGGGCGCGAGGTCGTGGCGAGCTCCGGATCTTCGCAGCACTGCCGGCGGACTCGAACGTACAAGACATAGAGCATGTTATGGAATGCCACATATGTGGCGTCTGGCCTCGACAAGAGGGTACGAACGAACGAACCCAGTACTGCCGATGACGACTAACTGTTCCCGTGCCTGAGCCTGGACGCAGCTCCAAAGATGGGCACACAAATGCCCTCCATAGGCTCCACCGAGCAATGATGAACTTCAAAGTCTAGACGCTGCCATAAAACAGCCGATACGGGGGCAGCGTTCATATGTTCTGATAACCAGATTGCTACAGCCGCACCAGGTTCGGGTAGCTGCAGGCCTGAAGCATCGGCAAGCGCTGATCACAAAGCACGGAGAACGGGCAGCGGGCATGGGCAGAGCGCGAAAACGCGTTAACTCCGAGTATTGGTGAGCACTGCTCGTGTACCGCTGCGGCGCCGCACTTGCGACGATCGGAACGGGTGCAAAGGGACAAGGAATGTCCATTGCCAATGACGCGACACGTAGAAGAGGAGGATGCGCCATGTAACTCATACGACGATGCAAGTCGGATGATCGGCGACGAGATGTTCGCCTGGCTGCCAGACGACATGCCCTCCCACGAGGGACTCGCAAACCCCAGACCCGAGAAGCAAACAACAGGACACTCACTCTTAATATAAAGACTGTACGAGCTTGGATCATGCGGAGTCTCCGCCGCACTGATCGCCCATGGACCCTCCTCCGTACGCAGCCTCCGTCCAGAAATTACAGGAGAGGAGACGATATTCTTGCCAGGCATGGCGGGCGATGGTGTAGCGGTGGTGGTCGGACGACTAGAATGGGCGGAGTCAAGGAAGAAGCGCGGTTGTCAATCCAGAGAAAGTTGGGAAAGGCGAGTGATTGGCCGGTGCTGTATGCTGTCTCCGGTTGGCGCTGTAGCACTAGCAGTTTCTATCTCGACGTCTGCTTCGTGCGAACGAGTGTTGTTGTGCACAGTCGTCTGTGGTACGGAGACTGTTTGGTTGCTCTGCACGGCAGCTGACCTTGCGAATGTTGGGGCTAAACGTTGTAGCGTAATTGGGTCCGAGTACTGGGGCTGCTGTGGCGTCTTCGGGCTGTGTGGGGACGCTGAGCAGGCGGAGGTCGGGCTGGGGAATTGAGCGGCGCGAAGGAGAACGAGAGGGGATAGTGAAAGGTCGAAGCAAGGCAGCAACAGAGGGAAGCGGAAAATATCCAGAAGAAGGAATTGGGATTAAGCGCAGGCGAGGATGTTGCGTGGGCGTGCAGAGGGCGTGCAGGCCACGAGTTGGAAAGATCCCGAGTCGAGCGTGATGCCTCGCGGCCGTCGTACTGAGCGGTGGCAGCCGTCTAGCGAGACAGCGCAAGCAAGCACACGACGACGGCGACGATGAGCGGGCGATGAGACTATGAGCTTGTGAGCGAGTGGATGGGTTGCAGATGGCAGGAGAGTGAGTGACAATAGAGTTGGAGAGAGTTGCCTGGCCGATGGCCTCGACGCCGACGACTGTCTCCTCACCGGGCGCTTGGCCCTTGCGTATGCGTTCTTTGATAGCCACCACAAACACATGGACTCCGAAGCACATCCTCTCAGCAAAACAAAACCAGCCTAGCCTCCGCCGTCCTCCTCTCGAATGCTATCATACGCTCCCGGAGCGAAACTCTCCCCGACGCTGGAGCTGAGAGAGCAGTTCCCCTTCCGCAGCGTCGGGCGCTCGCGATCACTGCTGCCAGGAGACAACTTCTCCCACCGGCTTTGCTAAATGGGCCATCGTCGGACGGTGCATCTGTCGACCATTGCCATAGACTCACAGCCCTTTGCCTTCACGCCCTGGAAGTTGAGGCGATGCTCAGATGACATCTCATCAGCTCTCCGGTCCCCGGACGAAGTCGAACTCGAGAAGGCCACCAAACATCTCTGCAATCTTACGCCTGACCAGCTTTTATCTGATTGCTCTAGTCCGGTACTCACCAACATTGGGGAAGCTCTCTGTATGCGGGCTTGTTACAGCTTGCGTACCTGGGTCCGTGCACGAGATAGCGTTTTACGTCTATTCTGAGGAACGCGGTAATGTCGGCGAGCATATGCTCCACGCTAGACCACTAACAGGCGTACTCACACTACGACGAGCACAGGGTACAATGTACGTACTCACACAACAACCTTGACGGTAGCATCGATAGACGATAAGACTTCCTTCTATTAGTCCTAACGTAGTGGTGGACCGCGGTCGGTGAGAACGATTATCCCGCATTTTGGTCAACATTGCCCGATTTGAAGGTGTCGTGTAGGCAGGGACCGATCAAAGACTGGACATGCTTTTTAGGATGTCACCACCCCGAAGTTCGGAACACGGGCCAAACGGACATAGAGCTCATCCACGGAACGCGAAGGCAAGACTGCGCAGCAGCCACGATCTCGCAGCTCGCCAAATATCCACAGTACTGCATGTGGACAGCGTGCATCTCATCCCGCCACGCTCTGCTCTGCGCTTCAAACCACGGCTATCGAGTTAGGCGGGGCAAGCGGGCTTCACAGCTGCCGTGCGGCGAAGCGTGAGGGGTAACAGGTTGCCCAATACGACCTGCCTTGCGCTTCGGCCCATACGCTGCAATACGACTGACGCTCCCTTTGCGTCCTCAGCATTACCCGGAGCGGCTCAAGCGCTGACACCAGCTGCTTGGACTCATCCGACGTCCGTGTTTGTGTCTTGAGGCGCAGCTGGAATCGGAGACACCGGTGAGCGGACAAGGGCGGCGCATACAAGCTCTTGTGAAGGGGCAAGGTACGAGAGGGTCCTCGAGGGAACCATACCCCAGGTCCAGAGGGCGTCCTAAGTGAGTGACACGGTTCGATTGCAGGCTACGTCGTCACTAAATGTCACTTTCAGGAGTTGACATGTTCAATGGTACAAGACATGGGAATGACAAGACCGTCCTGGATCTGGCTGATGGATTCAGCAAAGGCTTACCGTAATTTCTGCATATACTTCCCCCGCGAACGCTCGTGCGTTCCTTCTTGCAGGCCAGCCTGAGGCATCCGTGAATAATGATAACATGAAGCCACAGGCGACTCTGACGTACCTGTTTTACATTATAGACGTTCCCACAGGCCACCTGAACGCAAGCCATGCGCTGTACGATTTCACATAATAATGAAGTTCCACGAACGACAGCTGACGTCGCGACACGAAGCAGGGAGGGATAGGGAACTGCGATTGTACGTGGGCGGAGATCTATATTCAACTGCGACGGGAGCAGTACAGCACTTGCCGCCATGCGGTCTCCTGCGGTGCATATATGCTGTCTTACGGCCGTTCGCCGCGAGATGACAAAATATGAGGCATGCAGTTCGAGCATGGGAGCGCTACGCATGGACGCACGCGGTTCTATGAAGTCATCGCGGCCCAGAGCGACCCGCGCTAAGGTCAGCCGCGAAGTACTGTCCGCGCGCTCTGTGGCCTTGGGAACACAACCGGCTGAGCCCACCCGAGGTCGCACAAGTGTGTCTGTGAATGGCATAGGAAGCTGTAGCGGAGAGAAGAACGTGTCCGGACTGCAGCCGGTTTCAGCTCGCTTGTCGTGAGAGCGCCGCGCCGCATCTCACGCATTTGCCTGTTTTCCCCTCCTAAGCGCCCCCAAAGGAACTTCGGACGACGATATCTCCTCGACAGCTCAATGTAACCACTTCATTCTTGCGTATTCTGGCTCAGGATTACGACGCGCAGGGCACGGTATTGTATTGAAGTTGCGCCAACTCGACGTCACCAACTTCTGGGCATTCCCGCTCTCCCAGCTCCCTACTCGACTCGGACAGCGTTGTTGGCTGAATGGTATGGCGTACTCTCCCGGAAATTGTCGGAATGGTGAAGACAAGACGCTACCGAGGGCTCTGTGTCACAAGGCGGAGTGTCCAGCGACAATCAAGTCCACCATAGGGTGGGCTCGGGTGGCAGCCCTCTTGGGCCAGCTCAAAGTCCTCGTCGGGGAGCACCAGACACCATAACTATGTGAGTAATCCGCACCTCCATGATCCCTGTGGTCTTGCAAGGCATTAGGGGCCATGTAGTCACTGCTGAGTAGGAGGGAGGAACAGACGAGGTGGGTAGATTGGAGCTGCAAAGGAGAGCTTGTAGAACACTACAATTGGCAACCCGCACGATTACATGGGTTTGTAGGCTTACAGTGGACATATGTGACATGTTTCGTAGCAAAGATGTGTTGGATTTGACGATATACGACAGAGTGGTATACTAGGCATGTGCGAGAACCATTCGCAGAAATAAGAAAACGTACATCATGGACTCTTCTGCACCATATGCCCTCCGTAACATCCGCCCACAGCTACCAGTGAGCCTTCCAGGTATCTCCAGGGGTTGTTTTAAGATATATGCGCGACAGATGCAGAAGACAGCGTGAAATCGACCGAAGGCGGGTGGAACATCCGACATACGAGCGGCCAACTTAAAACCGGCACCGTGCCCTGCGCGTCATGATCCTGAGCCGGAATATGCAAGAATGAGGTGGTTACATTGAGCAGTCGAGGAGATATCGTCGTCCGAAGTTCCTTTGGGGGCGCTTAGGAGGGGAAAACAGGCAAATGCGTGAGATGCGGCGCGGCGCTCTCACGACAAGCGAGCTGAAACCGGCTGTATGGCGTGGCAGGTGCATTGCGCGAGGTGGACCGCCGATGTTGTGCGCTTTGATCGAGATCGGAAATTCGGCAGCGGTAAAGGGGACACCACTTGTGTGTGTTCACGGCGAGCAAGTATATCG